CACACACACACACACACACACACACACAAAGAACTCTCTCTCTCTCTCTGTCTCTCTCTCTCTCTCTCTCTCTCTCTCTCTCTCTCTCTCTCTCTCTCTCTCTCTCTTGAGCGCGCGCGCACGCTGTCTCTCTCCTCGCCCCCCTCCTCCCTGCTCTGAATGTCTTCTCTCACTCCAAGCTGCAAGTCTTAGTTCCCATAGATCTGTAGGACCCGTGGGAATGAAGGACCTGTCGGTAACCAGCCCGTCTGTCTGTGGGTGCTCCACTGCACAGGTATGGAGTGATTATTGACCAGTGCTTAGGCCACCAATTGCACATCCTTACTGAACTTGAGTTTTGATTTAAGAGAAGTTTCATTTGAGAGAGTTGACTTGAGTTTACTTAAACCACCAGTACGCCCGGGCCTGGAGGTGCTCCACTGTGCCCCAAGCTTCGCCGAGCCGCCAGCTGCGCACTTTTTTGCCATTTTTGAGCCATTGTGGTGCGGTAGGCCGGAGGGGTGGAATTTTCGGAGTAGGTGACGAAACGTTTTCTGCAAGGCTGGGGCCGTATACGAGTGGTTTAAAGATCTAAGGGCATATACTCGAATGGTGCCCTCAAGGCCACCAAATTTGAGGGGGGTTTAAGGAAGGGAAATGTGGGGGAGGGGTGAAGGGACTGCACAGGTGCATGCAGATGACTTTTTGGATAAGACAAGGTCTAGACTGCCCTCAAATTGTACCTTTGGGGGGTGGCATACAGTCACATGCTTGCCCTCTCTTTTCCTCCTTTCTTTCTTTCTTCCTCCTTTGTTTTTTAACGTTGTCACATTCTCTTTGCACTAAGGAAATTGAACACCAAAACTTGAAGAGCCACAGACACAAGCCAGAGAAAAAAAAAAAAAAAAACAGAGAGTAAAAAAACGTAGAACAATCCATAGAAACAAGCCAGAGAACAGACAAGCGAACAGACCAGAGAACAAACCAGAGAACAAAAAAGTTGAAAAAACAGAACGGACGAGAGAACAAACAAGCAAACAAAAAATGGGAAACAGACCAGAGAACAAACCAGAGAAAAAAACAGGGAACAAACCAAAGAACAAAAAAGAGAACGAACCAGAGTAAAAAAACACCAGAAAACAGGGCGGGCGGGCGGGCGGCCGGCGGGCGGGCGGGCCGCGGGCGGGCGGGCGGGCGGGCGGGCGGTGGGCGGGAGGGCGGGCGGTGGGCGGGAGGGCGGGCGGAGGGTGGGCAGGTGGGCAGGCGAGGTGCAAGGGGCAGGGGGGGGAGGAACAGAGGACAAATCATAAAACAAACCCGAAGAACACAAACAAACCTGAGAACACAGGATGGAAGGAAGAAAAATATCAGCAGTCTTGGAGGTTCACCAGACGCATACAATGCACTATACCCAAGGTCCACCAGACGCATACAATGCACCATACCCCTAACCTCACTGACGTCTTAACGAAGTCCACTCAAAAGCACGATCAGCTCACAGCGAATGCAACTTCACTAAACACATCAAGCAATGCATCATGTATTGCCCAGCACAGACATTTGCAACAATACCGTAGAGCAAACCATAGAACAAGTCACTCACAGCTCCAATACTGTTCGTCCGTGGTCGAAGGTGGGCAATAGTGCGCAGATATTCAAAGGAATGGCGCTTCTTCTGTAGCGGGTATGTTGTTGCATCACTCCTTCCCACCTGTGGAAACACACACACACATATGCCAGGGGGGTTCAACCTCCTGATGAGTCGGTGAAAGTCCGAAGAAACAGTCCATCACAGTCAATCCAATGACACCCATGGAAGCAGCAAATGACAACTCACATGAGGACAAAGAGAATGGACTGGAACACAAAGAACGACTGTTAATGATGCACAACAACACCAAACAGAATATTAATGACCGCCAGTCTCTTTCCACTTCTTCCAGCGGAGCCTTCTCCCTCAATCGCATGCTTGTCAGAGCTCCCAGACGTTCAGTGCCCAAAGGAACGAAGTCTTCATTGAAGAATTCCGGTACGTTGTAGTGCTGGAGCCTTCGTCTTCAACGCGGCAGTGGGGCAGACAGTGGTGGCGAAAAATCGGAAGAGGCCTGGTAGAAAAGAGAGTAACTGCAGAAGATGCAGCAAACAAGCAGAACAGGACCCAGCTTGTCATATTTACCGAGCAGGCAAGCGGGGAAGAAATGTGGTTGCTCAAGTCACCTCCACGACGAAGGGAGTGCAAGAGAAGTGAAGAGTGCACGTTTCTCCAGCACAGATTTGGGGAGAGAGGTGGTTGTTCATAAAGTGTATGTTGGGTGCATCAACACTGACAAGCAACGAAAGCAAGCTGCCGCTAGCTAGAGCGAAACGGGAGATAGAGGACAGAGACCAATTTACTGTATCGCTGCTGGTAAAGACGGAGAATAGGTTACATAGCAAAGATCACTTGAGGAAGATACTCGAGTCCGACTGATATTGATTGACCTTTTTGTGCCATTCTTGAAGCCAGGAAGAGGGGGTGCACTAAAGAGGTCTGATGTCCAAACACTAGTGTTCCTTTACAGGTGGGCGCATGACTTCAAGATGAAGACAGCAAGAAGGACGCTAAAGGAGACAAATGCAGCAATCATAGGGGGAAGACCGGGGTTGATGTCAAACGCAAAATTACAGTGCCGGTGAGATTTAACCACAGACAGAAGAAGAGATCGATTCACTAGACTGTAGTCCTATGTCTGCACAAGGGTAAGATGGCCCCTTGGTACTGAAGAAGGTGCTGAAAATCCAGATAAGGGTGGTTTCAACTGCTTTGGAGTAAGAACAAGACAGTGCAGCAGGTACTTGCAAACAACCGGACCTCGGCAGAGACACCAGCAGCTGCTTGTAAATGCAAGGATAACCAACTACCCCAGCATGATGGACATGTCGTGCTAAGGACTTTGAAGTACCCGCAGATACAGGGGTTCTTGTGTAATGGCAAGTGTCCCACAGAGGGATGGGGAAGGAGATGGAAAAGGGCTGCAGTGCGAGGTTAGACTAGCACTTGACGTTGTCATGAGGAAGGAGTATGTGCGTCCCAGAACGTGCACATTTCTGAGCTTTGATATGTCCAAGCAGCTTCTTCTTTTTCTTTTTCTTCTTCTTCTTCTTCTTCTTCTTCTTCTTCTTCTTCTTCTTCTTCTTGCTGCTGCTGCTGCTGCTGCTGCTGCTGTTCTTCTTCTTCCCATTGTTGTTGTTGCTGTTGTTGTTCTTCCCATTGCTGTTGTTGCTGTTGTTGTTCTTCTTCCCATTGTTGTTGTTGCTGTTGTCGCCGTCGTTGTTGTTGCTATTGCGGGTGGTGTGGATGCGAGTAGCAAATAAAGTTGTGTGGTGCTCTTTACAGGAGGTAAGGGCCAGAGGTCATCACGTAAACAGTTGATTATCAGGTGTCCCAATATCTTGTCACATGCAAGTTCATGTTGACAAAAGATTTCATGACGAAGCAAGGGGAGTTGCAGCAACAGTCCGAGGGAAAAGAGAGAGAGAAAAGAGAGAGAGAGACAGACAGACGGACGGACGGACGGACGGACGGATGGACGGACGGACCGGCCGGCCGACCGACCGACCGACCGACCGACCGACCGACCGACCGACCGACAGAGAGAGGAAGAGGGAAAGAGAGGGAGGGAGGGATAGTATAGCATCAACAGCTGTATATTGAGATGTGCAAGTGCACATAAGTCCACTCCACCCACCAATGTGACGCTGTCTGCCTTTATTTCAATCTTTTGCTTGCCTCCAGGACTAGCTACCACTGTTCCTTCCACTGTGATAGATGCCCCAGTGGTGACGTCACCTTCATCTATCTGCCACAATGAACAAACAGACATATTAGTACAATCAGCCTGCTGCAAGTGAATTGGGTGTGAGAAGTCATCACTGGAGTGAAGCCGACTTGAGGAGCTCACACCATCATTATCATCATTATGTGCAATTCTCACAATGCTCAATGATTAACAACACACATAGAGATAGAAATGTAGTCAAATGACAAAGACAAAAGAAGAAGAAGAAGAAGAAAAGAAGAATAAGAGAAGAGAAGAAGCCAATGGTTAACAATTTCTGGTCTCGTCTCGCCCCCTTCCACAGCCCGGCTCTTCTCCTCGCAATCACCACTACAGTCACCCTCCTATCAAATACCACTGTTGAAGTCAATCTCTCCGCACTCAACACCTCACCAATGCACAAGTCAAACTCCATGTCTCCCTGGCGCTGGCTTTTGGAAGTCAGTCCAATGAAGAACAACACTATGCAGGACAATGCCGACTTCTGAACCAAGCGGTGTCTCTCTTCTCACAGCAAAACCACCAGGTAAGACCAGGTCAGCTCTCTCTCTCTCTCTCTCTCTCTCTCTCTCTCTCTCTCTCTCTCTCTCTCTCTC